TTCTTCAGAGTCCAACTTCCCTCTCAATCGGCCTGTTATTATTGACTTTTCAGAGTCCCCAGGTGGTTTGCTTTCTGTATTTTGTCCAGAATTCTTGGTTGTGGGAGAACCTGGCTGTAATAGATTTACTCATGGCCAGAAGTTTACATTCACTTTTAAAACAAATAAATGTCAACTTCTCAAATAAAACTCTGAATATAGTTACACTCCCCAAATGCAAGCTTTGGGGAAAATGCTATAAATACTGTTATGGCTTTGTTTTTTATGAATAATAAATACTTAATATTTTTTAAAAACACTTAAAATGTTAAGAAAATAAGCGCTTATATTTTACCATGTGGAATTATCAGTTACTATTTTGAGTAGATACTTCCAGATATTTTTATACTCTAGAGAAAGACAAAGAGAATTTGTCTTATCAAAGTATTAATTTTTTACGTAAACCACTCTCATAACTCTTCTTCATTCGGGTAACTTTGTCCTAGTCTCAAAATCTGACACTTTCACTCATTTGTGGAAAACTACAGCTGAATGAGAAGCCTAAAATACCGGAATGTTCAGCTCAGTTTCTCTCCAAGACCATTGTGTAGTATGAAATGGACAGGAGTCAGGCATGGTGGTGTGCACCACCAGCTACTCAAGAGGCTGAGGCAAGAGGATCACTTGAATCCATGAGTTCAAGGCTGCAGTGAGCTATGGTCTTGCCACTGCACTTTAGCCTGGGTGACAGAGCAAGACCCTGTCTCAAAAGAAAAGAAAAGAAAAGGAGAAAAAAGAAAAGAAAAGGGGCAGGTTTCTAACCTACATGAAAAAAACCATGAAATTGCCTAAAATAAAACTAGATAAGACAGCTGAAATTACATGCTTACTTAATGAGAACTGTCCCAACTAATCATACCACAAAGTACCTCGTTAATGAACACAACATATTTCCCCTCTCTGTACCTTAAGTAAATTATAATAAAGACCCATGAAGAAGAGGAAAAGAAAAAAAGAAGAGAAAAAAAAAGAAAAGAGAAAGGAGGAAAAGGAAAAAATAACAAAGACTACAAATCTATGTATAATTAGAATTGCAAAGAAAATATTATCAATTCAATTACCACACAAGAGTAACAATAACATAATTTTCTTAGGATAAAAGTTGGTCTTTCTATGTATGGTCATTTTTCTTTTAAACCATCAGTCAGTAATGACCATGATTTTTAGTGATTCAATTTAAAAGCTTCATTCAATGGCAGGTTTCAATTGTGTCAGCAAGCTAATGTTTCCCATCCATTTCTATACCTATAAAGTAGATAAAGGGATTTAAATTCAAAGGGAACTTGTTTCATGATTGTGATTTTCATTGAATGTTAATATTATACGCCTCACTTATCAAAGAAAATTCACAAGCACATTCTAGAAACCAGAATGAACATACTTAGGACTTTTTCCTGCTACCTTAAAACTACAGCACTTTAAAAAGGAAGCTACAAATAATTCCTAGTCAACATCAAAAACTTCCAATATTCCTGACATAGATCTTAAGATATTATATTAATCACAAAATAAATAATAGAATCTAAAACTTGAAAAACCAAATAAGACATATTTTTTTAAGTTTTTTTTTTCAAATGGGTACACATAGAGTGTTTCACAATGATCCATGAGTCACTAAAGGGAGAATGTTCCAAAGCCTCCATCCATGCAAGTACTCAGATGAACTTACAAATAGCGAATACCCACAGCACAACCTTTCAGCTTGTGACTTAGAGAGTCAGACACGAAATAGGTATAAAATATATTGAGAAAGCAAGAAAGCGTCACAAAAACTAAATGTTGAAAAGGTTAAATATTAAGAAAAAATACAAGAGAAAAATATCATTGCTAGTTTTTAATAAATAAAGCTCTACTTGAATTATGTATTCCTAGAAAAAAATACTAAAATACTCCTGGGAAAATAAAGAATATATTTGGGATTTTGATTTCTGGGAAAATAAAGAACATATTTGGGGAAATTTTGATTTTTTAACAAAAACTAGACAATTCAAATTCTACAACATCTAATGCATCAGAATGAAGGTGCTGACAAGAACACCAGTAATATAAGAAATGTATCCGTAGTCCAGAGCACAAACATTAACTCTAGCTCCTAATGGATCACTCAGAGGAGAAAGAAAAAAGCCAGTCACGCACGCAGTCTCATACAAAACTAAAATCAAAGCAAAATCTAAGCTTTCTAATAAGTTGGATACTTAAATTATTCTACTGTAATAAAGAGATATAGCTCAGCCTGCCTGATTAATGCCTATATGGTAGAAATACATAAAAATGCAAGACTTTTATATTTTACACTGTTATTGTATTCTTTGAACAATAAAAATGTGAAACAAAACCCTAGACAGACCTACTTCTAAGGTATTACCTCACAATATCTTAAATGTTATATTTTAATTTTATTATACCAAGAAAGATTTAATTCTCAGAACAGTTAAACAACCGTGAAAAGTACTCTATGTGCTAAGTAATGTATATCATGGTTCAAGTGGCTAAGGGAAAAGGCGAGTTTAAAAGGATAGCTCCAGAATTTTCTTTTCCACTTTGATGTTGCTCTCTGGCAAAAGGAATTTGTCTTTCTGAACGATTTCCTGTGCTCTTCTCCCACACTGGTAACAGGACTTCCCTCCAATGGCAACTTCCCCTGCACCTTAAAACATGAAAACGTTTTTCTTTTGATTTATTATCCTCCTTTCATCAATTCTACTTCTCTCTTTCTCTAGAAAACTCCCAAAATTAATAGGAGGTCCACATTACTTTAATTTCCTATCCATTTCCCAACCTTCTAACTGTGCCCATTCCACGAGCCAGACATCCTCCCTCACTCTGCTCTCCACCCAGACCTCCTGACTCTCCGAGCTCTCCAAAGACTAGAGCTGTTCTAGTTTCTGGGCGCAGCTGCCTTCTCAAACAGTGTGACTCCAACATATAACTCCAGCTCTTGACTCTCAAGAAACTCTAGGCCTTGAACTACCCCATTAAACCTTACCAGTTTTCAACTCCACTATCTAAATTAAAACCTTTAAAATGGGTCCGCCCTCATCTGACAGTCAATTAACTGACGAAAGGCCAACATTTCCATTTCTCAAAACCAAGCCTTTAGGTGCCCTTCAGTTCAGTCTTTCGATCAGTCACTTAGCACATTTTACTCTCAAAAGTTTTTCCTTTTTACTTTTCCCTCCTCCCGGCAATCATGCTAAAATGGAGTCCACTATAAGACCTAAACAGCCAGGCGCAGTGGCTCATGCTTGTAATCCCAGTACTCTGGGAGGCTGACGTGGGCAGATCACCTGAGGGTCAGGAGTTCGAGACCAGCCTGACCAACATGGTGAAATCCCCATCTCTACTACAAATACAAAAATTAGCCAGGCATGGTGGCACGCACCTGTAATCCCAGCTACATGGGAGGCTGAGGCAGGAGGATTGCTTGAACCCGGGAGGCAGAGGTTGCAGTGAGCCACGATAGCACCACTGCACTCCAGCCTGTGCAACACAGGAAGACTCTGTCTGAAAGAAAGAAAGAAAGAAAGAAAGAAAGAAAGAAAGAAAGAAAGAAAGAGAAAGAGAAAAAAAAGACCTAAAAGATAATCAGGACCTTTTCTCCATTTCTACTCATATCCAGTAGAACTTTCATAATCCCACCAAGTCAATTTCCCTAAAGCACTGCTTTCATTAAAGACCATTATTAGTAGAAAGGTTTTAAGTTTTTTGAAATAACAATCCCTAATGTCAGTGAATAGGTGGAAAATGGACAACTGATATACTGCTGGTGAAGAAAATGGACAACTGATACTGCTGGTTGAAATTGGTATAAACCTTGTACCAAAAGATGTACCAAAGATGTAATGTAAGCTAAGAAAGTAACCAAATATGTATAAAAAGACTCGTACAAGGAATTTTACTGCAAAATTACTTGTGTTAAACAAACTGGGAGCAACTCAGATGTCCAAAAATAGCAGAACACTTAAAAAGCTTATGGAATATCCATCCAAAAGAAAAATAAATGCTACCATTCACAGTCTTTTATATAGAGTTCTTACAAACTCATATAAAATGTTAAATTGCATATAAGATAGTATTTATAATAAAATTTTATTGAATCTTATAAAAACACACAGAAAAAAAGGGAGGAAAAGATATGTTATATAACAAAATGTTAACACAGGTCTCTGTTGATTTTTATTCCTCTGATTTTTCTACATTTTTCAAACTACAAATTATTTTTACAATAAAACATATTCTAAAATCATTTTAAGCACTTTTTGTTGTTTCCTAAAAGCATTTAAACAGTTAGCATATATGTAAAGTGAAATGAGGAAAAAAAAGCCAGGGCTCAATATTGCCTAAAATTTAAAAGCTAAACTTCTCAATTTAGCATTCAAAGCTCCAATGTAATGCAGGCTGACACAGTGCTCACAGATTCCATACATAAATTCTAAACACCCAATCATGACAGCTCACTTACTCCACCACGTCATTCTTAGTGCCTATTTCTGCCACCAATTCCCACCTCTCTACCTCTCCAAATACCTTCTTGACCCACAGCCTCTATAAACTGCTGTCCGTAACAGCTGCTCATCCATGGGGTCCCCTTGAGTGTTTTTAATCCAAATGGCTGTGTTGCTTCAAGTTCTCCCTTCCCTCCCCTCCACTTCGGGTGACTCACATAACTCATCTTGGTATTCTACCATATACTATCATAAATTATTATTGTTACTTAACTATTTTATATGTATATCTCTTATTTCACACATAAGAAAGTTAGCTTGTTGGGGACAGGGACTATTTTATGTTTGTTCAGAATGTTATTTATTTCCTATACTTAAGCCTTTCTCAAGGCCACACAGTAACAAATGTCTAACATCCAACGTTCACTGAATAAAATCAAATTAGTTCAGATATTATCCACATACAATATGACTTTGACACATCTATATGTACATAAAGCAAATACTTTTTTTTACCCCAAGATTCCAACTATTAAGGCGAGCTTCAATGTCACTATCATCCAAAGAAACAGGAGACTTTTTCGAATAAACTTCCTGAAATACAAAAGGGAAAAAGGAAGAGGAGAGGGAGAAAAGAAGGAAGAAATAAAAGAGGAAAAGATGAAAGAGATAAAAGAGGAAAAGATAGAAGAGATAAAAGGGGAAACAAAGAGGAAGGACAGGAAAGAAGGGAGGAAGGAAAGAAGGAAGAAAGGAAGAGAGGAAAGAAGGGAAAGCAGGGAAAGGGAGGGAGGAAAAGAAGAGAAAGAGGGGGGAAGGGAGAGAGAAAAAAAGGACAAAATACATGTCATTCAGCGCCATGAGAGTTTTGTGTGCTTGTCTGGTAATGCTGTATTGCCCTCAGAGGAAAGGATTGGGTTACAACTGAACTAGGGTTCTCAGTTCTTTTTTTTTTTTTTGAGACAGAGTTTCACTCTTTTTGCCCAGGCTGGAGTGCAATGGGGCGATCTCGGCTCACCTCAACCTCCGCCTCCCAGGTTCAAGCGATTCTCTTGCCTCAGTCTTCCGAGTAGCTGGGATTACAGGCATGTGCCACCACCCCGACTAATTTTGTATTTTTAGTAGAGACGGGGTTTCTCCATGTTGGTCAGGCTGGTCTTGAACTCCCGACCTCAGGTGATCCACCTGCCTCGGCCTCCCAAAGTGCTGGGATTACAAGCGTGAGCCACCGCGCCCGGCCTGGTTCTCAGTTCTAAATAATGACTAGTACAGCAGCTTAGGGCTATGAGCTGCCTTAAAAATATATTCACACAGTAACTAGATTTCAAAAAGTAAAAGATGAAAAAATAAACCCAGGCTCTTCTCTTTAAGTTCTTTTACAAAAAGTTTTGATTGTGGTATACCACAGTAGCTTTAAAGTGTGTTGTGGGGGGGAGGGGCGATGTGAAAAGATGAATTATTCTCATAAAAATTAGTTAACAGGAAGTTTTGTGCTTATATCCAAGAAGCTCTTTGTTCTTAAATTAATTCTCACTCATACACTGAATATAAATAATCTTTGGACTCACATCATAAAAACACAATTATGGCCAGGTGCGGTGGCTCACGCCTGTAATCCCAGCACTTTGGGAAGCCGAGGTGGGCAGATCACAAGGTCAGGAGTTCGAGACTATCCTGGCTAACACGGTGAAACCCTGTCTCTACTAAAAACACAAAAAATTAGCCAGACGTGGTGGCGGGCGCCTGTAGCCCCAGCTACTCGGGAGGCTGAGGCAGGAGAATGGTGTGAACCCAGGAGGTGGAGCTTGCAGTGAGCCAAGATCATGCCACTGCACTCCAGCCTGGGCGACAGAGCGAGACTGCATCTCAAAAAAAAAAAAAAAAAAAACACACACACACACACAATTATGGTGATTCTTTACTTTTTAAAACATAACGATTCCATGCTTTTTTTCCCTCCTGTATAATTTCTGTATTACACATTTATCAGCCCAGATTAAAACTATAATGAACTAGAGACAGCCTAAGATCTGTGCCCAGAAATTGACTATGACCAGAAAACCCTAAAAACTTAGAAAGGTAAGTCTGTGGAAGAGAATGGCTAGTTTCCAGCCCAGAAAGAATATTTGAAATTAGATTTGTTGATACAGTATTCTCATGCTTTTAGAAAGCTTAATTGCTAACAAATGTACCTATTTATATCTATGATCATTTAAATTAATACGAAGTAATTTTTTTAAATGCACTAAAATGTTCTTCATATTTTACTGAGTTTCTTACATTTCTTTTCAATAAAATATTGCATTATTATTATTTATAAAACTATATTAAAATTCATTATCATTTCTACTAGTGGTCCTCTGCTTTTTGTATGCTTTTTCATGAACAAGAATTTCTTAAATAAGAAAATGTACCTGCCTTGCTTATTCTGAGTAAATAAAATGATTGTAGTTTATCACTACTGAAAATGTGCTGCCCTTTATATTTTTTAATTCCAAATTATCACTGGATAAAATGCAGTGAGTTATGTTTATAGTGCCATGTGCTAAAACAGTCATGCGTTATACATGCTTTCTCTTGTAACGAAAAGTCACGTAACTCAAGACAGCCAGAGTTAGGCAATAAGACTGGAATAAGCAGGCACAGTGTTTCTCTTTTCAAAGCTAACTGGGTCCGGGCGCAGTGGCTCAGGCCTGTAATCCCAACACTTTGGGAGACTGAGGCAGGCAGAAGGATCACTTGAGGTCAGGAGTTCAATACCACCCTGGCCAACATGGTGAAACCCTGTCTCTACTAAAGATACAAAAATTAGCCAGGCGTGGTGGCGCATGTCTGTAGTCTCAGCTACTTGGGAGGCTGAGGCAGGAGAATAGCTTGAACCTGGAAGGCAGAGGTTGCAGTGAGCCAAGATTGCACCACTGCACTCCAGCCTGGGCAACAGTGAGACTCCATCTCAAAAAAAAAAAAAAAAAAAAAAAAAAAAAAAAGCTAACCGGAGTGCTCATTAGCACCTTGTCCAAACCAAATCTATGTTGAATAAATAGATGCAAGACAGACAGTCTTATTTCAAGATATATACAGTTTACCTTCATTAGAAAAGCAGTGTTCCCTACTTCACTACAATACCAATTTCTTCTTAATTTTATGATTACCAGGTATACAATTATTTCCATATATACTCTGAATAAAGGGAAAATGTCATTCTTTGTTACACAGGAGAAACAACAGACTGATGAATATAACACCTCAGAATCATTGAGGAAGTAGAAGGGATACTACGCTATATACCAAACACCCCACTTTCTTTGACATCAGGATGTTCACCAGAATCATCCAACTTTATTCCGTTTTGAAGCCAATCATTGGCACTTCAACAAGTGAAATTAAAACTTTGTTCAGCTATTTTAAAGCAACAAGCAAAAACCAAACAAAAGTAAAATCTAATCTTACACAAATCTTTGGGGTAATATTTTGTCCATCTTCTCTGTGAGTTGGACTCATAGAATGTGATCTCATTCGGAGCTTCCCAGTGTACTGTTCCCTGCTAAGAGACCAAAATAATCAAATCACAATTTGGAGAATTCAGAGGACACAAAGTATTAGAATCTAGGATTACCATTTTTTTTTTCCTTGGAAATGAGATGATAGTTTGTATTAACAATGATGTTCCATAGCTGGGCATGGTGGCAAGCACTTATGATCCCAGCTACTTGGGAAGCTGAGGCAAGGAGAATCGCTTGAGCCTGGGAGGCACAGGTTGCAGTGAGCTGAGATTGTGCCACTGCACTCCAGCCTGGGAGACAGTGCGAGACTCCATCTCAAACAACAACAACAACAACAACAACAACAACACAAAAAAAGATGTTCCACATTAAAAAAAAAAGAAATACAAATAATAACCTTTTTATGTATCATATTTCATTTCATTTAAATTATAAGAGGTTACATAAATGCCACAGACTTGCTTATGCAAATGCTGTTTTTAAGTCACACTAAAATAAATCCCCTGCATTTAAATCTTTTCTCCTCCTTTCCCCTTTTCCCAAGTGTAAAAAGAGAGAAAACGAAGCATATATTCTATGGGAAGAACATTGTTTCAGGGTCAGCAAACTTGGTTGGATTCATGTTCCACATCAACATGAAGCCTTACAATATATAAAATAACAAAATCTTCACGTAGTTTAAAGTTTCAATTAATTTGAAAGCATGTCAGAAACCACAGGTATATCAAAGTCTTCTATTTAAAAACACGCCCTGTTAATTTAGGTAAAATGTGAAATGCAGGGTAAGTAGGAAACCAGTTTAAATGGACTTCATCAGAAAGACTTCTCATATAAATATCATATAAAATACATTTTTAAATAGCCTCCTTTAGCCTGGAGTCTCTCTTATATGATTTTATTCAAACCACTTCAATGAAAGTTCCATAATTATGAACACCTATTCTCTGAACAACGGCTTCAAGATATATGAAATGGAAAATAACCAATATACAATAGACTAAAGTCACTAACATTCAACCACAAACCATATCAGGATTTCCTTCACAAACTGTGACCTACACTAAGTATTTCCAAAAGACAGAATACTAATTCAAAAGACAATATTAAAATCAATGTATTTTGTAATTAAAACTGATAGAATAACATTCCTTAGACGAGTTAATAAGTAATGTAAAATGGCTGAAAAAGCTGTTTTAAAGAGAGCTGTTTATTTTTTATAACCCATTCAGTATCAAAAACATCCAAATAGTTAAAAGCAAATGAGAAAAATGGGCAAAGTTAATATTTTGAGTATAATTTTACCAGTCAATGTGCATCAGCTGATATAAGCATTTAAAACTCTATGAGGAGAGGTAACCTGATATGTCATACTAAGCAGTGGCCTATTCTTCTTTAAGAATAGATTAAATAATCATAAAAAGATCTATACTTAAAAATTGAAAAATGCTTAAATATTAAAATTCTTCTCATAAAAAATACTAATTTAAAAAGAAGCCTGAAATATTTATCTATTTATTGCACAGGGTTGCATACATAAAACAACACACCCTCTTAATTCACTTGTAGCTGTCCTTCTGTACCAACCTTTTTACCCTCACGATAAATTTTCAAAAATGTTATTGGGGCCATGCTCTAACCTGTCATATATTTTCAACAATATGACTTGCATTCATCCCAAAAGTGCTATAAGTAAGGTCATCAACAGTCTCCTAGACACTCAAGCAAATGAGTCATAACCTGTCCTTAATTTAGTTGATCTCACTACAACATTAGAGACAGTAGTTTAAAGATGCGGCATTAAATGTCTCCATAAAACCACTCTTCTGGCCAGATGCAGTAGCACACACCTAATCCCAGCACTTTGGGAGGCCAAGGTGGGCCTATTGCTCAAGCTCAGGAGTTTGGCACCAGCCTGGGCAACATGTGAAAAAAAGTAGTCAGTCGGGCTTGGTGGTGCATGCCTGTGGTCCCAGCTACTTGGGATGCTGAGGTAGGAGGATCACTTGAGGCCAGGAGGAGATTGAGGCTACAGGGAGCTGTGATTGTTCCACTGCACTCCAGGCTGGGTGACAGAGTGAGACCCTGTCTAAAAACAAATGAACAAACAAAAATCATTTTTCCGTGGTTCTCATCCTATCATTCAGAGATCTCCTTCACAGTAACCTTCACTAGCTTTCTTTGTCCACCCCATACATGCTGTGATCCCAAAGTTCTGTGTCTAAACTAATTTATTTTCATTTTACAAGTTTTCTCTGGATGATCCAATGTATTAATTTTTCAAATAATAAGAAGTTTTGCTTACAAAATCTATATCTGTAGTCCAAATTGCTCTCTTGGTCTCCAAACTCATTACAAATACAAATTGAATAGCCCTACTTCCAATTAAAACATGTCCATTATTATTAACTAAATTTATTATGTTACCCCTAATACGTGCTCCAATGAAGGCCAAGTAATGGAGAATCATTGCAGAAGCCAGCTTCTTGTGAAGGCATTTGAGCCAACTGAAGAAGGTCAGTATTTGTTAAAATCTGGCTGGCACAAGAAAAACAGGACATTAGGTACAGAAATTTCATTTTCTGCCATGAGACTGTCTCCAGCTGGAAACAACTTAAACTCTAAGTAAGCACAAAGGCTGAAATTCAGTGATGGCGCTGGTGGTCAGGGTGAACAGCGAAACAGAAAGTGGGAGAAAAGTTCAACCCTAAAAGCGTTTTTGTGAATAACAGGTGCCACATGCCACACAGAATAGCAAGTCCTGGTGCTTATAAGGACAGCCTACAATTGATACAGGGGACCTGATCACAGTGAGCTCATAATATGGTACTTGTGCCAAGCAGAAAAGGGGTATTGTGCCTCAGTTAATTTCAGGATGCCAAAACCAACATGGAAAGAAAAAATTCAGTACATTTGTAATATTCCCTGACATGCCCTTTACTACTCTTAAGCCGTAAAACTAGGCGAATATAAATTTTCCTGTTCACTTTTTCCTAATGAGAAAATATTTCAACAGGAATTCACAAACACTAAGTATCAATGCTGATTCTTAATACTAGAAAAATATTAACTTATCCCTATTAACTTATCTTACATATAAAGAAATAAGGAATGATATTATACGTATAAAGATATAAAGGCTAAAGGAAGACCAATCAAATGTCCTCCTGTAAAAGAAAATTACTTTACGGGGTGATGTCAGCAAGACTCTCCTTCTCTCAATGGACACATAAATTCAACAATAATACATGGACCAAAATTCCCTTTGTGAGACATCCAGAGACCAGATGAGAGGCTCCTGTACCCCAGGCAAGGATAAAACCAACCACACTGAAGCCAGTAGGAAAATTTGTGGAATCCTCTTGTGCCATAAGCAAGGTTACTTAAGGGACTTGTTGCTGTCTTGCCTGAATCTTAGCTCTGAAAGGAAAGGGTCCCATGTTGGGAACTGCTGAGAACAAAGCCTCCAGTTTGGACTAGTATGCAGTAACTGACCATAGTCCCTTCCACCAGCTCAGAACTAGCAGGTGGAAACCCCCAATCCTAGCTTCTCCCTGAGGAAGGAAAAAATTGAAGCATCTGTCCAACACTCTGGCTTTTGGAAGGGGCTGCCTAAGGGACCGGATTCTGCAGGTACTCACAGAACTGGCATTCTCTAAATGCCTGGGGACCACTGAGAACGAAGGTGGTGGTTTGAACTGGTAAGCAATCACGGCCAGAGCTCCTACCCCTGGCTCAGCATAACACAATTAGAAAAGCTCATGGTCCACAGCTTCTCCCTGGGGAGGGAAAGAGAAGACTAAAGCATACATCCAACATTCAGACTCTTGGGGGACTGCCCAAGGAACTGGTTTCTGTCTCATCTGTCTTGAAGCACTGGTGGGATACAGCATAAACTAAGTGCCTAGGGGCAGCTGAAAATAAAAGAGCAAGTAATAACCAAAAAAGGATTGAGCCAGTGTGCTACTAGCTTCAGAAGGCCCATAGTACATGACACAGAATAAGAAGGAACAAGAGATTATGATCTCCTAAAAACAGAAACTAGCAAATCCCACTACTTAGAAATTCACACACGGAAGTCCAGAGAAGACATATCCACAGAAAAAGTTTATGAGGACCCCAGAATCTCTACTCAGGCCAATTCTTGAAGGTTTGCCCCTGTACAAAGCCAGTCCATAAAGACTGGGGGAAGTGGCTATTTTTCAAATATGTACACATTAATAAAAAGGATCAAGGAAAATAAAAATGGCCCAAAGAAAGGAACGAAATAAATCTCCAGAAACCAACCCTAAAAAAATGAAGGTAAATGGATTAGCTGATAAGAATTAAAAATAACCATAATCAAAATTTCAATAAGCTTAGGATAAATTATGCACAAACAAAATGAGTATTTTAACAAACAAAATATTTTTAAAGAGAAAAATCTGAGGGCTGAAGAATACAATAACTTGAACTAAAAACTTATCTAGAGGGGCTCAACAGCAGCCTTGATCAAGTACAAGAAAGAATCAGTAAACTCAAAGACAGGACATTTGAAATTATACATTCCACAGAGCAAAAATATTTTTTGAAAGACTGAAGAAAACATAGGAAACTTATGAGACACTATCAAGCAGGCCAATTTACATATTACTAAAGTCAGAGAAAGAGAAGAGAGGGAAAAGCAGTAAGCTTATTTAAAGAACTAATCTGAGGAGAAAAATGGACATCCAGATTTATGAAGCTCAAAGAATACCAAGTAGGTTGAATGTAAAGAGATCTACACCAGGACACATTATAATCAAATTGCCAAATGTCAAAGAGAAAAAAAGAATTTTGAAATCAAAGAGAGAAAAGCAACTCATTACATACAAAGGAAACTCATAAAACTGGCAAAGGATTTTTCAACAGAAACTTTATAGGCCAGGAGAGAATGGGATGATATATTCAAAGTACTGAAAGAGAAAAACTGCCAATCAAGGATATTATGATATACCCTGCAAGTCTGTCCTTTAAAAATGAAAGAGCGATATGGTTCCAGACAAACAAAAGTTGAAGGAGTTCA